ATCTTTATGTTCCACAACCAAGACAAGGACCACTGCAGAAAGAAGATCTTTATGCTCCACAACCACGACAAGGACCACTGCAAGGAGAAAATCTTTATGCTCCACGACCTCATGAACAAGATCCACAGCAGGAAGGAGACATCACTCCATCTCCCAAGCACAGTCATCGAGACCATTGGCAGAAGAATGGAGACCAATGGATCAGACATCATGTCCGCAGTCGGCAAGCTCTCTTCTCACCACAAACAAGCCGATTTCCAACAAAGCTCTCCTATCTGACGACAGGAAGAGGAACATTTCTCTTCTACGAAGACGGCACCACAGAGGAGTTGGATGACGACTGGACAGATGAGCATACTGCTCAGAAGATGATGCTCAAGAAGTGGACTGGTATGACAGTCTTCGACATGAAGAACAAGGAACCGCCACCGACAGCTCTCAGCAGTCAGTCCACGGAAGAGATCTACATCGCCGATCGTGAAGACCACATGTTCCTGGAAGATGAATTGCAGGCATATGAAGAAGTTCACTTCCCTGAGCATCTGCCTGATCACAAGAAGACCTATCTCAGGAAGTTCTACAAAGCAGTTCCTGAGGAGTTCTACAGTCGTCTCAAGGCAGCTCCCATCACACCGAAGAACTGCTTGTGGTGGCTGGATCGAGCAAAGAAGAGCAAGAAAAGGTTTCATGTTTGGGAACTATGTTCTGGATCAGCTCGCCTCTCCTTGCTGGCACTACTGTCAGGATTGACAGTCTGCTTTCCTGTGGACATGCGCTATGGCTGGGACATCGGCTATGGACCACATCAAGCTCTTCTGCGACAAGTCCACGATGAGCTGGATCCCGAATGTCTCATGGGCTCTCCCAACTGCCGACCGTGGTCTGTATCAGCCAACAGCCGTGATCCAGCAGACACTGCGCGAGAACGTGAAGAAGAAAAGCCAGCATTAACAGAGCTCCAGAAGATGTTCCACAAACAGCACAAGAGACACAAGATGTTCGTGCTCGAGCAACCATGGTCTTCTGCACTATGGAATGAACTTCAACTTCCTGGAGAACGACAACGATTGGATCAATGTCAGTTTGGTGCCTCGAATGAAGATGGTGCTCCAGTTCTCAAGCCAACAGGCTTGCAGTCCAACAGGACACTTCAACGTTGCCTTCTTCGATGTGGCGGACATGGCCGAGCACACGGATGGCTACAAGGACAAGTGGATGGCAAGAATCGAACCACCATTGCCTCCGTGTATCCAAGGAAGCTCTGCCAAGCCATCATCAAAGACATCAAGAAGGCCATCAACTTCATCAGTCAGGTGTACTGGGAATGCGAAAGGTGCTCACTTGGACATTTTGCACCACGACATATGGAGCACACCTTTCTTCCAGGAGAATGTCGATATGGCAGAAGACCTGATGAAGATCCTCGATCTAAGAAGGCTCGCGAAGCAAAGAAGTCAGAGAACCTACTGGACGCCTTCAAGAGAGAAGCCCTCACAAATAGAAAGATTGCTCAGAGCTCACTGACTTCAGGAGGTGAGATCGGCTTCAACAATGAGCAGGCAGCAATCTTCAAGTATGCCATGGCCAAGATTCTTGCTGAAAGCATGGAGGCTTTTGACCAGAAAGAGAAGGAGCAAGACTACATCCACTGGCTGCGAGACCCAATCACTCTCGCCTGGCTGCGCAGCACAATGGCAGAGCATCTGGCTGTGGCAGGAGTTTGTGCTCATCTACAACCTTGGACGAAACCAGTGCCTACTCCTCATCTCAAGGCAGAAGAAGCCTTCCTACGGCTCATGGTTCGTGGCAATGTGGAAGCGTGGCGATTGCTCCCTGTGGAAGATCTTCGCGAACTATCACACCATCAGTGTCATGAACCTGTTGACTTTGATGAGGACTGGCTCATTTGCATCTTCGGGCACTATC